TACATATATATATATATATATATATATATATATATATATATATATATATATATATACACATATATATATATATATATACATATATATATATATATATATATATATATATATATATATATATATATATATATATATATATATATATATATATATATATATATATATATTCATATGCATCATTTTTTGTACACAACCAAGAAGAAACTTGAAAATATACATTGGATTGCTCATCATCTTCACTCTCAGAAATTGCATTCATCAACAATTGCACATAATCATTCGCGTTGATTGATGCTTTGTTCAAGTGTGATAACATCCAAACTTAGGATTTGTATATCATTGTCTGGGTTGAGAATCGGTGGGGTTTTCTTCAATAAAACCTTTGGGGTTTTATCCTCCAAGATCTTGGTTATTTGGGGGGGGGTTTTGCACAAATATTTGTATCACAGTGTCAGCTGAGTGAAATGCTTGAAGAACAGTGGGTTCGGTCAAGCAAGTAACAGTAACCGGAGGATTGTATTAAAATATTTGGGGTCGAACGTCTTGCGGTCGAAATCAGCCAAGTGAAAGACTTGAAGAATCAAGTGAGTAGCGGTAACCAGAGATTTAATCGAAGAGTTTGATGTTCTTGATTTGGCTAGAATCAAGGGAAGAGAAGTGGATAGAATCAACATCAACAATTAGGTTTGAGTGTGTGGTGGCTATAACTTCTCTTGTACAAAACTTTGCAACTAGATATTATACATATCTCAATTCTAGTTTTAGAATTTGGGGCAGACGTACCCGAAACGAGGACGAAAAGGGAACTGCCTAAACAAATTGGGTGTCATTATCTCTCTCTCTCTCTATCTATTTACTTTGTGTTGTTATGTTTGTGTGAAATCAATTGTTAGATACATTTCTATTGATTTATAATGCTGAAAACTGTTTTGGAAATTCATTGCAATCACTTTGATTGCAATTGTGAAAAATTCTGCACTATCATTTCATAGGAAATTGAACTTGGGGTGTTGTGCACACCAAGTGTTTGACATATTGATCACACACAAACTGTTCGTAAAATTGTCAATTTAATTTTACCATTTATAATTCATTAGAAACCATTTAATTCAAAGTGGTCTTCATTTGAATAATTGATTGTGAAAATTTTGGTTCGTTTATCTTATCAATTTTATTCCATTTGGCTTCGTATATCCAATCTTACCAATAACGGTTCGTTTAGACGATTTTAAATCCAAGGTTGCTTCTGCACATTTTGAAACAATTTTTGAGCGCCGATTTTATTAAAAATTAGTGATCTATTCAACCCCCTTCTAGATTAGTGCCATTGTCTAACAACAAATTCAAATTTTTTGAGAAAATAAGAGAAAAAGAATGCAAAATAAATATTGAGGACCACAATAGCGATATCTTTAGTATCATTAATCAGGAAAAGAGTTGGTATGATAACAATAGGAGAACTAGGTACCGAACTCTAAAGATTTGAACCTACTTTCCCAAAAACAAATGTCCTACTCAAACATAAGCCACGTTAAAACCGAAAAAGCCCTGAAGTGTGTGTGTTTTGATTTCTTTGATGAATTCTATTAGAACATGATCAAACTCAATATAAACTGTTTTGCATGTTGATTGAGAGATTACCCTATCAATTTAGTAAGTCATGATGAGATGAGGTATAGGTTGAGTAGTTGTCAAACATTGAGGATATTTTCTGAATTTTTCGAATTGTATTTGGAATCTAAAATGATGGTCAGATAAAACAAATTTCATATGATGATGTTCACTTGTTATTGTTTCAACTTGTTTTTCTGTTTGGAATTTGCAGTGCAGACAAGTTACTTGAGGACAAACAATAATTCAAGTTTGGGTATGTGATGACACTCTATCATTGCATGCATGTTTTATGTCGAAGAAATAAATAAAAACAAGTTGAAGATGATCAAATTTGATGAATAGTAGCCAAAGAACAGAGCAAAAATGACTAAGTATGAAGAATTGGAGACTTAGAGAAATTTGGCTGAAAAAAAGAGCAAAAGCGAGCAAGCCACTGGAATAATTACACGTTGTATTGCGTGTTATCTCGCGCGTGATAGAAAATAAGAAAAGTGGTATCACGCGTCATCGCGCATGTGGAAGAGAAACCAACGCATCATCACGCGCGCGATGCAGTATATTGCACACGCGATAGGATGAGCCATTTTTCTTGGAAATTTCTGACGTGTTCTAGTATGATTTGGTGGCTATAAAAGGTAGGCTTTGTACTTTTTTAGGGGTTCGGAAATTGGATACTGGAGAGTACAATTAACAATACTTAAGGTGAGTTTTGGAGTGCATTCGAAGCCATTGGAGGCCAGATCTTCAAGGAATTTTTATGCAATCTTATTCTTATCAATTAGTATTATAACTTTATCAGTATGAGTAGGTAAACACTTTCAAGTTATGTTTTGTCTGATGAATCTATTTCGAACATGTTGGGGCATATGCTTAATTTGATGTTGCATGAATTATCTTAGTTATATTTTAATTTAATTGCTTCTTTTACTTAAAACGTATTATTTGAGATACCCTATTAATGTGATTATAGACGTATAGAGAATACTTTCCCTTAGCCCATGTGTCTGATATAGGGTAATTATCGTACTTACATCGATTGAATAGAGATAAAAGACATTGAGTAGTGTCCTTAGAGTTAACATAATGCATCGTCGTCTGATTTCAATTACGCCAGTTGAATAAGTATAAGAGACCTGTTATAGGAATTAGTGAACTATACACCAAGGGATTGGGTATATTGGTCTTGTCAACTCGTTGTGGAAATATAACGATGCTCGATTTATGTAATACATTAGACATCAACGGAGGAGAAACAGGGGATTTTAGGAAAAACCTGACCACTTTCTATAAATTGTAAGAACATTTCTTTTATTTTCAACTGCAAACTTGGACCCCCTTCCCCCAATTGTTACTTTTTATACTTGCACAACTATTGCTTTGTTAAATAGCAATCTCTGTGGATTCGATACTCTTTTTATCACTGCGACACTATCAATACACTTGTCGAGAAGTTATTAAATGAGCGTCAACTTATATCTACACGACTCTTGGTGAGAAGGGAAAGAGAATTATAGAACATATCCCGACATCGATCTCGACCTACACTACTCTTGGTGAGAAGGGAAGGAGGATTAGGGAACATATCTCAGTGAGCACGAATCACCTAAAAATGGGTGATATTTTATATTTAGAAGGTTAATAATATAGGACTTGGTATAACAACATGGTAGATCATACAATCGAGATGACCATATTCATATTTGAATTAAAATAAAATGACCAGGTCGATCATGAATAACATTACTTTCAAGCATTTCGTCCCTTCATGCCTTATGCTTGGGGAAGTGTGTGCATCTTGAGTATTGGTGATCAAGTCGTCATTACTCTTAAGGAGTTCAACCCTTCAAGCCTTATGCTTTAGGGATTGTTTACATCCCAAACATCACATCTCGGGTATGGGCAGTGAGGACATTATTACTCTTAAGCATTTCGCCTCTTCAGACCTCATGCTCGGGAGACTCTAACATCCTAAATATTGGCGGATAAATGTAATAATATTGGGTCGAATCTAAGCATGAAACAAATTCGGACCCTCACTCAAGTACATCTCATATCTGGGCCGAGATACACAATGAAATGCTATATAAACCGTCCATGGTCGAGAAGACCCAAACACGCCTTTATGGGTATTTATCATTGTGATGTCAACATGCCCAAACATACCCCTTAAATTTCATAATGATAGAATATTTTGCCGTTATGACCATTAAATGACATTCAATTATCTGTGTCTCTCTTGTCTCATATCAGGGTGAGAGAATCACTATAAAAGAGATTCACTTCAAAACCAAATGATATATCGATAAAATGACCCTTAAATGACATTCAATTATCTGTGTCTCTCTTGTCTCATATCAGGGTGAGAGAATCACTATAAAAGAGATTCACTTCAAAACCAAATGATATATCGATAAAAAAGTTATTCATTTTGACTCTTTTATGATCCTATCTGACCAACTTTAAAAAAGTTATCAAATTACTGTTCTTACAAAAAAAAACAAATATTTTCTTTTTATTTTATCTTTGGTAAACCTTTATTCTTATATTTACCCCCTTTCAAATTTCATGCCTTTATAACTTAAACTATATATATCTCTTAACTATATTTCTCTCATCTATGCCTTTATAATCCAATTTCAACTTTAATTAATTGGCGTCACTGTTGAAGTTGCAAACTTGCGAATATATGAAGTTATGAATGCCTCGTGAATAAAAAAGACACAAAACACTTGGCATTCACCAACGGATTGCGTAAGAACCCGCGTTAAAGGTCGCAATCAATATTGCCCACGTAATTTTCATAAAATACTATACATGTATTGGCCACGCAATTTTTGATTATAATTTAATTGATATTATTATTATTATTCACGAGCAAGCCGTTGAAAATTTTCATCAAGCAAGTGGTTGAAAAAAAAAGGTTCTGCATTATTATTATTATTATTATTTACATGCATTATGGTTTTGTATTATTTGATGGATGATGATGCAAATATATACAATCCTGCACCATACAAAGTTCATCATATTTCAAATTCTGTTAAAATCCCTTCATTTTCATTTTAGTCAATTCAACTTAATTAGAAAAGTTTCATAGACAAAATTCATCTAATTTAGTGATTAATTTTTTTTGACGGGAATAAATGAGATATTCCGAATTCCAACATGACACTATTGAAGTGACTTAACTATAGATTTTTCTCAAACATAAAAAAAGCACTAACATTATGAAAATAGTTGCGGTGTCATGGTAACCATCAATCATCGTCAAATTACTATAAAAAAATTTGCTGCAAAGATTTCAAACTAACAAGAAACAGCGACCACCACATTCATATTCACATCTAGATCCCGAAAACAAGACTACTAGTAAAACTTTGAACGCCATGGAAGAAGAAAGAGAGAATGTTTCTTTAGCAATGAACAAACAGAATTCTGGATTATATCAAGATGGAGCCGAATTGAGAAAATTCAGAGCGTATCTAGGATGGGTTTACGTGGACCAATCAAATCTATGCAAAACTGGTTTATCTTGGTCTTTGTTTTTTACACTGGCTTACGTTGTACCGATTCTATCACACTTTCTTCTTGATTGTTCGACAACCTGCGACGCGGATCATACCCGACCGTACCATGTTCCTGTTCAGATTTCTTTGTCTGCTTTTGCTACCTTGTCTTTTGTTAGCCTCTCGAAATGGGATCGTAGATATGGGTTCAGTAGGTTTCTTTTTCTTGATAAAGTTACTGATGAGAGTCTCAAGATTCAACGTGGGTATGCTCAACAGATGAAGGTTTGTGTTTTTTTGTTGTGTGTGTAGGAACGAATTTGATAAATAGAGAATTTTGTCACGCATGCTATGTCTTTGTCTTTATTCTTGTCTTTCTGTTTGATGGATAGTTATAGGAAATGTTGGAAAGATTGCCACAAATGGAATGTTTTTGTGGAAAGTGGAAAAGGAAAGAAAGATAATAGAATTTGGAATTTATGGTTAATTTGATTATTCTGCTTAAGAGAGAAAGTGGGTCTGGCTGAATTTGAATCTCTACGGCGGAGTCGTCATATTTAATGCCCGGTCGGGTCTCAGGTTAACCGGAAAAAAAAGAGATGAGGAACATGTGTAGGAGATTTGTGAATTTGGATTATGTGCTATCACCAATATGAGGTGTTGGTGGTAGTTGGATTGAGATCGGACAGTCAAGATTTCAATTTCGGTATTATAGTTTTTTTAAAACAAAAGTGAAAACCGAACTTGAAATATGGACTGTCCAATCTTGATTCAACAGTCACTAATGCGCCGAATGAGTGAGATTTCTGACTAAAGACCGTCCAAATTTGAGAGTTATGACTCTTATGAGCTAGGAACTAAGAATTGAGTTCCCTTAGCTGCAAAATCTGCTTTGAAAAAGAGAGCACAATATCGATATTTGGCAACTCTAGTTCTGATGTGTTTTCTTTCCATTCTAGTATTGTTAGGAATTGTAACAGTAGTTACTCTCTTGTTGAACAAAATACATTTGTTTCTATTATGCAGAGAACAATGAAGCTCATCTTGCTTTGGGGACTTCCCTGTTTCATAGCTGAATGTGCCTACAAGATATGGTGGTACATTTCAGGATCGTCCCAAATACCACATTATGGTGAAAAATATGTGAGCAGCATTATTATGTGCACATTGGAGCTATGTTCTTGGCTTTATAGAACATCGACTTTCTTCTTGGTATGTGTCCTCTTTCGACTCATTGGCTACCTGCAAATACAAAGACTAGATGAGTTTGCTCCTGTTTTTCAAAGAGAGACTGAGGTAGGATCGATCTTGTTGGAACACCTAAGAATACGAAGGAATCTACGCGTCATTAGCCACCGTTTTCGAGCTTTCATTTTGTCTTCTCTCCTTTTGGTGACAGCAAGCCAGCTCATTTTTCTTCTGATGGTTATAAAACCACATGCTGACGCTGATATCCTCAAAAGTGGAGAGCTCGGGGTAATGCTACTTTCCTTCATTTAGTGGATTAAATCGATTGACATTGTTCAATTTAAGGAACTTAATTAGTATTTCGTAAATTTGGACGATTGAACTGACTGAACCTTACAGTTTCAAATACTAAAATGCTGATTTACTTCCCTAGAAATAGATTGTAATAAGTTGTGTACTTTCAATGATGCAGTTAGTCTCCATCACCTTGGTTAGTGGACTTTACATACTTTTAAGAAGCGCGACGAAGATCACACATAAAGCACAATCCATCACAGGACTTGCTGCTAAGTGGCATATATGTGCCACCATAAACTCCTTTGAAAACATCGAAGGTGAGACACCAATAGCAGAGGCAACTTCAACACCAGTTATCGCTACCAGTATTAATTGGGGATTGTCGGACGAAGATGAGTTGGGAGATGAAGAGGATGAGTTGAATAACACCAAGTTAATGCCGATTCAGACACATACTATCTCGTTCAATAAGAGACAAGCTTTAGGTATATGTGATTTTTTTTTACTTGTATTTTGTTTTAGTCAAATTTTGCTTTATCCTGAGTTACTTGCTTTTTAATGCAGTGACATATATGGAGAACAATAGAGCAGGAATCACTGTTTATGGATTCATGCTTGACAGAAGTTGGCTTCACTCCATTTTTGGTATTCAATTGGCTCTCTGTCTTTGGCTACTTAACAAGACGGTTGGTATTTAGAGACGGAAGTGGAACTGCAATGATCCTCCTTGTTCTACCTTGTGCGTTGTGGAGTGCATATTTTGAATCATCATCTTTTCGTTTGAATTTCTAGATAAAGTTGTGACATACGAAATGTAAAGGATGTGTGTTTGCTGCTACACATAGTGTTGAGAGTATTTTAAATGTGTCCGCATTGCCTATTACCCGTACCTCAGTGGGGAATATCCATATCAAATTACACGGAAGACAGGCACGTCGAAGTGAAGAACCGGAAACAACAAGCGTTTGCTGCTATGTATAGGGCTGAAACCTCTACAGACAAGAAGTTTCCGATCTTGTCAGTCTAAGTTATAATTAACCATGCATTTGTATGCATGTTTGTTAAACTATTATTGTAATTATAAATGTTTTTCGTGTAAAATATAAGTGACAGAAGTGATAAATAAAACTCTATTATACTCTTTTTAAATTCGGTACCTTATTGGTTGAAATTCACATGGTTCTCACTAAAAGTATTATTGAAAACCGAGTGTAACTAATTCTTATATTCCGAATGATCAGTGATCTGATATGATCAAATTGGGGGGTTGAGTGACACAGAATAATCACTGATCCAATAGGATCTACTAAATTTTAGCCAACAAGAAAAAACAACACAGTGTTGGAAAAAGTGTAGAAATTATGTTTTATTGCCAGTATGATCCAATAAAATGGATGAAAGATTGAACAATAAATTTATTAAAAAAATATTTCCGGATGGAGCCAATATAAAGCATCTTAAATTTTTAGAAAATATAAGATCCTTAACAAGGAGAGTTTGTTGCAGAGAACAGAACAAAACTCACAAATCATGACAGTTACATATTCCTTCTTTTGCCTTTCTAAAATGCAAACTGGAAGAAAGCGTGTTTGGCGTTCAACAAGCTTTGTGTTTGGCGTTCAACAAGCTTTGTAACTATCGATTACTTTTCTTTAAGCCATGTTCTAGCAGAAACTCTAAAACCATATAGATTAATATCTTAAGCCAACATCTAATTTCAGGAGCACAAAGAGAGGCCAAAGATCCCTGTGTCCTGGATTCTGTACCATAAGAAACCATTCTAGTAACTATGGCGGTAAGTTTTCACACACACAAGCACACATACATCTTACAACATGGAATCAAACATGAAATTTTGTTTTAATCAAATAACTATTTCCTTTCCTTTCTTGAAATCTACAAAAACAATCATATAAGTTATTCTAGAGAACTTAGTATGTGATCATTTATAAACCGTTATCTAAAGCATGCTAAAATAAGCCGATATTTCAAGTTTATGTCAAATCATGTTTGACAAATTTTTGACTCTTTGTTAGCAGAACTCCCACGTTCCGAAATTTGGCAACTGGGAAGCTGACAACATTCCATACAGCGCATGTTTTGAGAGTGCACGCAGAGAAAAGGCAGGAATCATAACGAATCCGTACAATCCAATGGAAAACTCAGAGACCTACAACGAAAACATTAATGCTGACGAAGAAAAATCCTCTCATACTTACTCTCACAAAGCAAATTCAAGCTCAATGGAGAAAGGAAGCCATGAAGTACTGAGAAACAATTCTATACGCCATTCGCATGGCCGAAGCAGGGGAAGTAAAGGTAGCTTTACATCAGAGTTTGACAGCGAAAATCGCTGTATTGATCACTCAGCCATCAGCAAAGCTTCACAATCAGTTCACAAAAGGAGTGTGTCCAAAGGAGTTAGTAGCAACATTGGTAGCTTCTCTTCAGCAAATCATAGTAGACACAGAAACGGAAGACACTCTTTCAATGATCATGACGATAAAACAACAACAGTACCAGAATTCGGTAATTGGGATGTAACAGACCCGAAATCAGGAGAAGGTTATACTGTAATGTTCAACAAAATAAAAGAAGAAAGACACATCATGTCTGGCCACAAGATTCCGCCTCAAAACCACGGTTCAAATACGAAGAATCAATATGATGGATCTTCTTTCAGTTTATCTAAGGTACATGATGCTTACTATTTCATGTTTATTGTTTTGTCCATAAATTTTGTATATATATGTGAAACGTGTATTTCAAGTTTCACTGCTAATTTCATGAATGTGTTTGTAATTTTGTGCAGTATTGTTGCTGTTTGTTTACAAGCGAAACCAAATGAACACGGATTCGCTGTTTACTCGGCTCACAAGAGACATGAATTTAGAGTGCTATGAATAAATTTATAATCTTATAAGAGCATGAATTAAGTCTCACATGTATGTATGGATGTTTTGATTTTTTAACATTATGCTAAAATGAAACCAAACTATTTGAAAAGAAACATAAAACATAGTTATACAAAAGTCAACAAAAAAAATTGTAAGATGAATTTCATTTTGAAGATCAAGATAATCATAGCAACGAACAACATAAAACTTGTAGTAACAGCTCTAATAGCAGCATAACGATTCAGAACTGCAAAATTTATTGCCCGGGTATATTGCGAGGTTCTTTAATTTGCTTGGGAAGTTCTTTAATTGAACTTCTTTTTCTTTCGCGAGGTTCTTCAATCCCAGGATAAACCGCAAATTGAGTACCAAAGTAATCAAAATCAAATGCAATATCAAAACCATTCGAGTCATCAACACCAGCATCCAAGTCCAACTTCGATTCATCAACACCAGCATCCAAGTCCAACTTCGATTCATCAACACCAGCATCCAAGTCCAACATCGATTCATCAAATGTTAACCAATTCGATTCAAGTTGCGATGAAGCATCAACACTCGCAACAACATTTGGTTCTTGCACTATGTCTGTTTTCGGTAAAGAATTAGTTTCACCGTTTGAAACTTCAACATTGTTAACCAATTCAGGCGAAGATAAAGATATATCTGAGGTCTCTCTCTTGGAGTCATTAGAAACAACCAAAGGTTCAGCAAAAGAAACTGTTTTGAGTCTCTTGATCCTCTTCTCTTTATGAAAATCCTTCTTATATGTAGTTTCAAATTCAAGTCTTTTAGCTTCATAAGCTTTAGAAGCGTCTTCTGCGGTGCCGAAAGTTCCAAGCCAATGACGTTTACCAGTCATTCGGTTGCGGATTTCTGCTGAATATCGACCACATTTTCTCATTCGAACACCTCTGTATTTGCAAGGCGGTTGTGTCACTTCATGATTTTGCGTTCCACAACTCTTATTATTTTTGTTCACTTCATGTTTTGGTATTCCACAACTCTTATCATTCTTGTTCAATCCATTATCAACAGTTTGATCACTCGGAACATTAGGAAATGCAATTTTAAGCACAACCCTCTTCCTCTTTGTTTTTTTATCCACATTAATATTATTTCTTTCATCGGATGAAGAATCTGTTGCATCAGAATCATCATATACAATTTTCAATGATTTTCTACTTCCAGAGACACAAGACTGAGGATGATCCATTTGTATTGAACAGTTTGTTATTATTATAAGAGATATTCACCTTTACAAAGAGGAAAAAAAACGATTATAGAATAATTATATATGTAATTATTGTAAAATGAAAAAAATTGTATAATTAAGTGAACAAAATTAACAAACCTTATAATCTTTATTAATAAGTGAACAAATTTATCACTGAACTTCAATAAAACTCCGATAATCACTTCTAATTAAGCTCGTTCATAAATCTATAATTGTGAAAAATAAACACATTACATATGTGACTGAAATTAAAAACAATACATAAAATATAAAAATATAGGTTTTTTTTTATGCATATTGCGGTTTTTCAATCACCTATAATAATTTTGGATAACAAATCTATAACTGGATTAGAAAGAAATAAATCTTGAACCCTCAAAAATCCTCAAAAGTATTAGAAAGAAATAAAGAAATAGAACTTTTGAATATAAATATTAACCATTTGGCAAAAATAAGAAGATGAAGGTGGATTGAAAAAGTTAATAATACCTGAGTTGAGTAGAAGCTTTTCTTGTGGACGCTTTTTAACAAGTTACACGTTACCTTCTTAAAAGGTAAACTCTTTTTCTTAATTTTCAAAAATATTGTAACTTTTTGTTTACGGTTTTTTTGATATGTACTTAGTTATAATGATGCTCATTCCTTTTTTATTGGAGTGAAGATAGAACAACTATATCTTAAGTTAACTAAAACAAATATATATTTTTCATTTGTTTTAATTAATTCATCTATAATTGATTTGTAAATTAAAGATTTAAATTTGCTCCTAAAATATTGTAACTTTTTGTTTACGGTTTTTTTAGGTTTTTTTGATATGTACTTAGTTATAATGATGCTCATTCCTTTTTTGTAGGAGTGAAGATAGAACAACTATATCTTAAGTTAACTAAAATAAATAATATTTTTCATTTGTTTTAATTAATTCATCTATAATTGATTTGTAAATTAAAGATTTAAATTTGCTCCTAAAATATTGTATCTTAATTAACTAAAATATTGTAAATTAAAGATGTAAATTTGCTCCTAAAATATTGTTTCATTTGTTTTAATTAATTCATCTATAATTGTTTTATAATATTTTAGACTAGTTAAAAGAAGTTAAATGACTATTATATATATATATATATATATATATATATATATATATATATATATATATATATATATGTATATATATATATATATATATATCCTAATTAATATACACAGTAAATATTTAAAAAATAATATTGTAGGTATCTTCACAATCATATGATTTAAAAACAATTATAATTTAAGTTAATTATTTATAAAGATCTAATAATTGTGATTGACTAACGTTATAAACCTATTTGCTGTAAAAATATATATTAATTAAATTATCATATATAAATATTTGATTTTTATATAATTACTTTTAATATGAACTGACATAAAAATTTAAAATTTATGTTCAAAAGAATAATATTTAAATTTTTAAAAATTTAAATATAAATTTTCATTTTTAATTCCCTCAAAAAAAATATTATCATAGAATTTTTTATGGATTAGAGAAATTAACACCCTAACAAAATATGATTTAAAA